TTAGTACATGTAAAGCATCTAATGCCTTGCCTAGCATGTAACATTAACTTTTTCTATTATGACATAAGTCTGGCAGTTATTTCTCTTTGTCATTAACATAATATTTCCATGTTAAAGATGAACCATTTAAGAAATACCTTAAAAATTACAGTAAACTTGGTAGGATTCTATTTTCGAGTGATTATTGAATATCTTCTGTGTGCCAGGATATGTGCTGAATTAGTGTTTTAGTCAGGCTCTTTGAGCGTGCCTGAAAGAGACATTTTAGGGTTTATTTCAGTGCAAAGCAAAGGATCCATGAAGTTTCCTTTATTGCAGCACATGCGTGCAGCCTCTGGAGAACTTGGTTATTCACCACCCAGGGAGGTATAAAAGTAGCTACGATTATCTATCATGGGACTGGTACAACTCTTATGTTTACTTGTATTGCTTCTTCCCTTCTCTCCATCTCTAACTGCATCTTCTGTCTAATTTATCTTCTCCCTTCTGTCTCATTGCTCCTACTTACTACTTTGCTCTTTTTCTCTACTTTTGTGCTATTCTTTCTATAGTGACACTATCTGTGTATCTTGCATTCATACCCCCAGAGAAAAGATCTGCATGCTACAGTAACATCCAGTATAGAGGCTCTTTGGATCAGGGCACATTATTGCCAACTGTGGACTGTAGGGGATGGATTCAAAGGTATAAAGTGTGGTGTCCTAAACATCAGACACCACCCTTAGAAGGGGACATAGTCATGGCTGGATAGACCCTCTGGCTTCATGTTGGGTGCCTTTTGTGGCCTGTCCAGGACATGTGGCACTGGTAATAGAAAAGTAAATAAGATGTTTAACCTGTCCCGGAAGAGTTCCCAATGTGGTGAGGGAAGCAGATATGTAAACAAATACTCCAGTTTATGCTGTATTATAATTAATATCAGCATATGGGGGAGGGAGTGGCTAACTGCTATAGAATGGTGATTGGAAATTCTTTAATGAAGGCATATGAGATGTCAGGATATAAAATCATCTGCAAATGCAGAGAGGTAGGAAAAATCTCGGTGTGCTTAAGGAAATATTTTAGTGTTGTGAGAAGAGGGCATTGGCTGGTATTTAAAGGGCTCTAGGAAGAGGATGTAGAACATGATACCAGTGAGGTTAATAGGAATGTTAGAAACAGAACTAGGAAAAAAAAAATCAAGAGTGGGGAGATCTGTAAATGTCAGTCCAGTCAACAGTGGCTGGTGCCAGTGGGTCATGTAAATGTAGGACCAGGTGGTTTCACTGAGAAGGGGTCATTGAAATATCTTGTTTTTTAGCAGGTAAATTCTGTAAGTCTAGAAAGACTCTAGAACTAAAAACCTAACCTTAGAGGAGAGAGGTTCTTTGAAGCTTCGGGTCAATCACAGTTTTATTCTGAGGAATGTTTAGAAACCAAAAACAGCAAGAAACTTCATGTTTTCTAAATAAACAGGAAAGGAAGATAAAGCTTAATCTGTAACAATGTTTAAATTTTCATATTTATCTGGCTAAAATTTTATTTGTTTATTTTTTCAGTCTTCAAAGTACTCCCAAAATACATGTTTGTTTTGCTAAAATGTCAAATATACAAGCTATTATTTTAGTCAAAATAATAGATATGGTTCTAGACAATAGATAGGGCAGAAATAACTCTCCGAAACACTCATATTTAACTAAAATGAATCGGAGACCCTCTAATCTGGTGATTTTGCAACTATCTGTTTGTGTGTGTGTGTGTGTGTGTGTGTGTGTGTGTGTGTGTGTGTAAAGTTGTTTCCTGCTATAGCTATGATATGAATTGGATGACAGATCACTGCTATATATATGTATGCACACATACATATCTGGTAAAAATAAAAACTTTCTATATATCTATGAACTATATGTTAGGATTATAACAAAACAAACTATGTAAGAAAAAACTTTTCTTCCTAGTTTGGGTTCTGTTTCAGAGACAAATGAAACTAAGTAGGTTTGATTTTTTTTTTTCTCTTACGTGTAGAATAGGATTTGTTGTATATTTCACTGAATCTAGTTGTAAATTGTACCATTACTTTTTATACTACAAAGAAAGGAAGTAAAAACCCTTGCCAATTAAATTACAACATTTAATTGTAAGGGGTATTTAGATTTCAAAGATATTAAAACATGTAAAAATAAACTTTTTAGAATTATATTGAGTTATTACTTATGAAGACATTAGAAAGAACACTTTGGTTTATATTTACAGATTAATTTAGGAACAATGAAAACTGTTCTGAATAACATCTAAATTGCAAATTTAGTCTTAAATACAGAACAATAAAAAGATTAATATGACTAGTCATTAAATTTTAAAACTAGGAAGGTCATTAGGGCTGCCAAAGATGTTAATAAATAATCATTCCTTTAATATGTTTTAACGCCTGTTATAAGCCAGACATTGTTAGACGTTGGGTATACAGTGATAAAACGCTGGCATATGCCCTCATGGGGCTTACAGTTGTTGGCGGGGTGGCAGGGGAGGGTTGAAAATTGTAATGAGCACCTTAAAGGAAAAGTGAAAGAATTGAGCTAGGGTACCTGAGATTGGTAATGTCTCAAGGAGTTGAAGAAAAGCTAAAAAAAGTCCATAGAAATTAATGAGGTGAAAAACAGACAAGTGAGAAACAGTCTGTGCAGAAGCCGAGCAGGAAGGAGAGTTTTTCAGGCAGTGAAAGAAAAAGATTCTGGGAGGTGGAGGAGTAAAGGGGTGTCCTGGATAACTTCAGTTGAGGTAAGAGCAGATGGTGTAGGGCCTCATAGGCCATGTTTAACCTTTTTGGATTTTTTTTAGTCTAAGTCCAGGGGGAAGCCATCTGAGCGTTTTAATGGAGGAAGTGACCATGGGTGCTCTGTAAAGCTTGAATTGGATAAGAGTAAGATTCAAAGTGAAGAGGCCCTCTTAGGAGTCTGTTGCTTAGTTCAGACCAGCTAAGCTGGCAACTTGACTTGGGGAGTTGTAAAAAGATATACATTTTCTTGAAGATAATTTGCCATTATTATCAAAAGTCTTAGTTAATATACCAAAAAGTGTACATTTTGACCCAGCAATTCCATTTCAGAGCACTTATTCTAAAGAAATAATCTTAGATGTGTGCAGAAATTGAGCTCCTAGTATGCTTATTCCACATTATTTATAATAAGAAATTGGTTTAAAAGATTATATTATTTTCATACAAGTTGCAGTGAAAGAGGCAAGTGATGCTGACTTTAAGGAGGCCACATCATCCAGGAAGATTTGTTTTGACAAGGAGAGTTCTCTATGTGTTTAGGTGGGTGCCAGGAAGAGACACACTGAAAATAAAGAATGGAAAAGAGATACTCAGTGAAACAATCCTGGGGAAGGAGAGACATCTCTGAGAAGATAATCACCCTTGTCAGGGAGTGCAGGAGCTCCTGGTGTGAAAGTGCACACTAGTTCTACAGTGTGACTTACTTTTGAGAACTAGCCTGGGAACCTAGCCTCATCTTGCACCATTGTTTCTGTGGGGAAAGTGTTTGCTTTTCAAACTAGAGAGTTGTAAGCAAATTTTTGGTGTGCAATTTGCCAATAAATTCGATTGACTATAAATTTCAATTTCCTTGGATAATTATTGACAGAGCAGGATGAATTTTGGGGAACACATTTCTCTCACACTCTCCCCTCCACCCTCCCTTTCCCTTCTCCCTTCTTATTTCCCTCCCTTCCTCTTCTCTCCTCTTCTTTTCCCTTTCCTTTCCATTTTCTTTTCATTTGCTTTCTTTTGTTTACCTTTTTCTTCTCATATTGCCTCTTTCTTTGTGACAGCTTTTTATACCTGTGTGGTGGAAATATCCTACATGGTTTTAATGCCCATTTGCAAGTTTCAAATGTTCTGTACTCTTCACATTCCTAAAAATATCTAGGCCAATCTCTAGCACAGAGGTATTTAACATATTGGTTTTCACTGCCTAACAGTATTGATGCTTCAGTAAAACCAGTTAACCCTTTCTTTTCTAGTGCATATTTAGTTTTAAGTAGGTTTTTTGCTGGTTCCCTGAAGATACTGCTGCTTTGTAGTTATGATTAGATGGAAAATTCCTAGAAGAGTTTGAATTTGATTTAGTAAGCTTATGGTTATCATCTTTGGTATTTCCTTGGGTATTTCCTTTTCTTATCAGTGTAGAAAATCAGTTTGTAGCTTTATAGAATTTCCGAAATAGTTACTGAAGTTAGCTTAGTATTTTTTAAATTGTTACTTCTCCCAGAGTGCAATTGCTTTGTTTCCTTACAAACCAGGTTTTAAAATCCATGCATATGCATATTGTTTGTTATATACCTCCACATGTGGGTGGATATGAGTGTACTGTATATGGAATACCCCAAATACTTTGTCATGGGATTATTCTGAGAATAGAATTTAATCTGTTAGGCTTTGAAAAAAAAGGGATCATAGAAGATGTGATTAGGTTTCACTTAGTTTATTAAATATTTAGCTTATTTCAGAAAATAAGCATATCTACCAGATTCTATTTATATTGACCTAAATTACTGGATATTCTGGGATAAAGAAAGGGTAGTAAAATACTCTACTAAATATCTGAGTGTGTTAGAGTAGTGGTGTCATTAGAAACAGCACAGTCGCCATGAACGTATTTGTTAATGTAATGCTTCATGTCTTAGGATCCATTTTGTTAGCTACCTGGAAACAAAGGTCTGCATTAATATTAATGTGCCTGCACCTTCTAAATGGAACATTCTTTTTAAAGGCATTATTAAACTCAACTTGTTATCAGGCAACATTCAACACTATCCACGTTATAGATTCGACGATGGTATAATATATGTTTCGCAGTGGTATTTTCTTTCATACCTTGCTTAAATTTGAAGTTTTTAGCAGTTATCTTTTTAGTCACATGTCCATGGAAAGTATAAAATAGAACCATATTGTTCTATTTGTTCTTGTAAGTTATTTTTCATATGTAAATTTCATTCTCCTTGTTCTCCTTCCATTGTAGTCGTGAGATGGAGAATAAGGAAACTCTCAAGGGTTTGCACAAGATGGATGATCGCCCAGAAGAACGAATGATCAGGGAGAAACTGAAGGCAACCTGTATGCCAGCCTGGAAGCACGAATGGCTGGAAAGGAGAAATAAGAGAGGCCCTGTGGTGAGTGGTTGTGGGTGACCTGCTATAAGGAAGAAAGCATAGGAGGAAATAGAAAATTAAGCATAAATAGATCCTCTTGTAAGCTTTTTGTTCTCATCTTCATTTTAAATTCAGTAGTTTATTTGCTTGATATTCTAGCCACTTGGAACAAAACATAGGTGAAACTATGCTCATTAAGCAACTTAAACCTTTCTTAAAAAAAAGCTGGTTGGTTGTATGGAGAGGTAATGCTTAAAGCAACACTGCCCTCTAATGTCAGTATCTAAAAATCCTTTTATTGGAGATTTATATTGTACTTAAAACTTTAAAAAGAAAGGCAATTCTTAATTTTTATTTTGATGTTTTATCTCTAAGGTGGGATCCAAGAATCTTAATTCCAGAAATCTTCCAGGAAACAGAAAAAATTAAATAGACTCATGGGTTTGAGATAAGTTAAAGAGACGCCTGGAATATCGGGAAAGAAAACCTAGATTTCTACATTAGGAAAGGCAGGCATACTTTATCCTTTGCCATGGTTTTTCTCTTTTAAAGTACAGGCAGACCTTAGAGATATTGCGGTTTGGTTCCAGACCACTGCAGTGAAGCAAGTATACAATGAAGTGCGTCATAACTTTTTTGCTGGTGAAGGGTCTTGCCTTCAATTTGTAAAAAACGTAACATCCATGAAATGCAATAAAGCAAAGTGCAGTGAAATGAGATATGCTTATATATGAAATCTGTGAAATGTGCTTCTTCATTCTTATAAAGGAAGAAGTAGATCTCAGTTCTACGGCGGCCCAGTACCAATCTGTATCACAAGTTTTTGGTTTTTTGTTTGTTCTTTATAAACAGAGATGACAATTTAAGATTCATTAGATCTGTTTGTGTGTATCAGGGAGCAAGGGGAAGTGAATCATAAAAGTTACTGAGCAAACCACTCATTTGATATTTGAAACCCCTAAACTACACCACTGCCGAGTGATTATCTCACCCTGTATTCATCCCATATGCCCATTTAAGTTTAAACTTAATTAAACATGAATAAAAGTAAAAATTTAGTTCCTCATTCACACTAGCCACATTTCAAATGCTCAGTAGCCATAGGTGGCTAGTGGCTTCTGTAACTGGGCAGTGCAGTTATAGAACATTTTTGTCTCAGAAAGTTCTGTTAAATGTCTAACACTGACTAGCCTCTTAAATATCTCAAAAACCTCTGAGATTCTGTATATCCCTCATCGTTTGCTGAAATTTATCTTGCACATTCTACCCTCTGGTTCCAACCTATGGAGCTAATTTTTCCTTTAGATACCAGATTTTTTAGCTGCCACATTACCCATGAGTCCTTTCTTTTCCAGCAGTGCCTCCACACTTCTTCCATTTATTCCTCATGTGAAGTAGATCTCACCATTTTAGTAATCATATTAGAGGATGAAGATAAAGAAATTAAAGATTTATTTTAGAAAGTTCTGTTGAAACATTTCATAGAAGGTGGCAAATTTTTACCTAATTAATATAAAGAAGAACTTCTGAACAATTAAAGCCATCTGAAATTTGAATATGTTGCTTTCTGGAGTTCCTTGAGCTGGTAGAGAGTCTTAAGTATTTTGAGAATAACAGAGCAGAAATTACAACTTTTTAAAAAGAAGCCAACTATTTATCCTTTATTACGTTTGAACTAACATCTAAGACCAAATTTTATTTTAACTCACTGTCCGCTTTCCAGCAAATACTTAAGTACCTTATCTGTGTATAGGACAGGAGTGAAGAGGGAAGAGATGTGAAGAGTAAGGCAACACATGGTCCTTAAGCTTCTTCTACCACCATACATGTTATAATTTACAGATTTTATATTATCCACAAGAAGTTTATAGTCTACCTGGAAGTTATGATTTTGTTTGTTACTATGTTTTATGATATATCAAATCTTCCTTAAAACTTTAGAGGTGTAAATAATCTCCAACAGTAAAAATATGATTAATGCACAATAAGTAAAAATAAAATAAGGCATGAAATATCACATAGCAGTTCGTGACTATGAACCAAATAATGTTGGGTGGGCAGAAGAGCAGTAATGACTTAGCAGTGAGGAAAATGCCAGGCTGGTAGAGTTAAGGGAGATTCCGTAAAAGGTAGGATTTTAACGGAGCTGTAAAAGATGGGCACTTTTTCACTGGGTGAAGGTATGCTGTCTGGAGTGCTGCAGGCTGGAAATGTGGATTAAGAGGAAGAGTGTGAGTGAAAGCCCATGATGAGGAGAGGTTAGGCATGTGGTAGGCACAGCTACTGGCTGGTAGAGCAGGAGTAGTGGGAGAAAGGCCAAAAAGGTCTGCTGAACTTTAACTACTAAGGCTACAGTTTGGCCTTTTGGTCATAGCTAGATTAGGTCTGAAAGCCCTAATCATTAGAAGTATCACATCTTATAAACTGCATTTCTGCTTGAAAGGTGATCTTTAAACTTGTGGATTCGTTTGGTGTTTCTGAAATACATGTCTAAAACTATTGTACTTTAACAGTGCCAAGAACAAAGCAAGCAAAATGGTTTTATATTAATTAGTCAGACTATCTGAATACTTCAAATTATGCCCAGTATTGTTTTCAATTCTTGCATTTTTTCAATACAAATGAAAAAGAAAACATCTACTTCAATGTAGTTGAAATTAACTATAGAAGTTGTAAGTGCTTATTTTTCACATTTGTTTTCTAACCTTTGTTGATTTTGAATGTTAAATGATTTTAGGGCATGTAATAACATAACACCAGGTTCTAAAATTATGTATGATAACATTTTAACTAGTGCTTTAGCCTAAATGACAAATCTGTGTGGGAAAAATAGTCTTACATTTATGGCTTAAAGTAATACTAAATAAAAGTTGACATATTGTCTCATTTATATAATGCATAATAAAACTCACTGAGTTCATTTCTTAAGCTGTTTTGTTCAAATTTACTTATTTTTTTTTGTATTTTTAAATAATCGAAGTATTGGAATTTTAATTTAGGTGGTAAAACCAATCCCTATTAAAGGAGATGGATCTGAAATTAATAACTTGGCAACTGAGTCTCAAGGAGAGGGCCAGGCGAGTACCACTTCACCAGCTCCCAAAGGCCGACGCAGTCCTTCCCCTGGCAGCTCCCCATCAGGTCGCACAGTGAAACCAGACTCTCCAGGAGTAAGGAGAAAAAGAGTTTCCCCCGTGCCAGTAAGTTAATATTTTAATAAATATGTTAAGTTTCTACAACTTTTAGACTCATTTATAACAGAAAAGATTGGCTTGCCCTCTGTTAGAGCGGCAGTTCTCAAAGTATGTGTGGTCTACAGACCCTTTGAGGGAGAGAGAGAGGGCAGGTCTTGAAACCCTTTCTGTGGATCCATTAGGTCAAAACTAATTTTGTAATAAAACTGAGATGTTATTTGCCTCTTTCATTGCATTGACATTTACAATGGTGAGTAAAGTTTCTGGTGCATTCACCTGAATTAAAGTTATGACAGTGGAAATTATATTCTTCATTTGGGTATTTGGCAGACATTTTCCTTAAGATGAATTAAGTGAGACTCACTTCAAGGCAAACAATTGAAAATTTTTTTTACAAGTGGTAAAATTTGAGATTTCAAGCAAAAATTAGAATTTTGGAAAACTCATTCCACCACTGTAAGCTTGATAGTTTCCAAAACTTAGACTTTTAAAATAAGATCAGTGATAATATCAAATGTGATTTTTTTTCCACATAATGCAAAATGAAATGTGTGAACATTTGGAAGATCTGCATAAATTAGTGAGCCAGCATTCTTCAAATGACCAATACATGATGAAACAAAATCATTCTTGGGTAAATGATCCATTCAAAGTGTGTAAGATACGTATCTGGATTTTAATATAACAGTAGGAAAAGTCTGTTGATATGGTTTCAGCTTCCACACTACAGCCTCCTGTAAGAAACCATTTCTTTGGTGTCATATCAAAAAGAAAATAATAATTTGAAAAAGCTATTAAAATACCTTTTCCAGCTACATGTCTGTGTGAGGCCAGATTTTCTTCATATACTCTAACCAAAACATCCTATCATAGCAGATTAAACATAGAAGCATCAGTGAGAATCCAGATGTCTTCTATATTGTCAGACATCAGAGAGATTTGCAAAAAGATAGGTGCGAACTTTATGATAGAGACTTCTAGTGACAGAAATGCAAGTTAAAACACCTTCTCACCTTGAAAAGCAAAGTAGTGAATAGAAAAATGATTGTGATAGTGACCACAAGGGGGAGTTTTGGTTTTCCTCAGATCTGAGGTGGTTAAAGCATATAAATCCTTCAAAGAGTAAATTTTAAGTACATTTTTTTACAGTGAAGCCAAAGATACCCAACAGTATTTATTGGCTTTATATTGACACACCTTTAAATTAACTTTTTTAAAACTTAAAACAAAATCAGTCATTTATTCTCTCATGAATCTGCAAATTGGGCAGGACTCAACAGGAGTGGCTTATGTCTGACCCCCATGGCATCTGCTGAAGCTGGAATATCCAAGACTGCTTCTTCACTCACAGTCTGGTTCTTCAGCTGGGATGCTAGACAGTTAGGGGCTGTTGGTATCTCTTCCTCATAGCAAGGAAGTTGGGTTGCAACAAGTATTTCAAGTTAGTAGGGAACATGGAACAGATTCTCTCTCATAGCCCTCAGAAAGAACCAACCCTGCTGACACCTTGATTGCGGACTTCGAGCCTCTCAAATTCTAGGATAATAAATTTCTGTTAAGCACCACCCCCCCAAAAAAAAGTGTTTCAAGAGGTCAAGTCCCAACATAGAAGCTTTTGTGAAGCCACCACTTGCATCATGTTTGCTATTGTCTTATTGCTCGAAGCTTAGTTACATGCCCAATCCAGAATCAGTGGTAGGGATATAAATACTGGAAGGTGTAGTTCATGAGAGCAATCAAAGTAAAAGTCTACCACAAGTATATACAGAATTGCCTCTCTCCCTTGCCTCCCACCTACTTTGGATATATGCTAGATAGTTACCCTTGCATTCTTTTTAACAGATACACAGCATTTTATCACCTGCATAAATCATAGTTTAAATGAACTACATACTAATAGACATTTATATTCCTTTTTAACCTTTCATTACTAAAAAATAATGATACAAAAATATTTTTATGTATATATCATTTTGCACATCTGAGCATATCCACAGTCTGAATGCTTAGCAGGTCAAATAGCATGTGCATGTATTCTCGTTTTTGTTTCTAGTTGTTTTTTCTTTCTTTTTTTAAGTAACTGCTCATTTAAAAAATAACAGCTTTATTGAGAGATAATTCACATACTATATAATTCACCTGTCTAAATTAAAGTTTGGATTTTGGTATATTGATAGAGTTGTACCCATCACTATAAATTCGAAAACATTTTCATCATTCCAGAAAGAAAACCCAGACCAATTAACAGTTTCTTCCTAGCCCTAGGCAACCACAGATCTGCTTTCTGATTTCATATATATTTATTTATTCTGGACATTGCATATAAATGGAATCATATAATATGTATGGTCCTTTGTGATTGGCTCCTTTCACTTAGCATCATGTTTTCCAGGTTCTACCATGGTATAACTTCTATCAGTATCCCATTCATTTTTAATTGTAGAATAATCTATTATATGAATATATACATTTTATTTATTCGGTTGATGGACATTTGAGTTATTTCCAATTTTTGGCTATTATGAATAATGCTGCTGTAAACATTTGTGTACAAGTTTTTGTGTGGACATAACTTTTCATTTCCCTCAGGTTTACACCTAGGAGTGGAATTGCGGGTCATGTGTTTTCCAAAGCATCTGCACCATTTTACATTCCCACAAGTACTTTATGAGACTATTCGCTGCTTCATGTTCTCTTCAACATTTATTATTTTTAACTAATCAGTTAGGTATCAGAAAGAACTGGAATTTCTATTGGGCACTGATAGAAAGACCAAGTTTTGGAGTGAGAGGGACATATGGCACCCTCACCACAGGAGAGTTTTTGTCAGCCTCCAGTGAGAAATGTCTTAATCTGGGAAGAGTCATTTGCCATTAGTTTTCTACATAGTGTACCATGAGAAGAATTCCATGGTGGTTTTTTGTAAATTACCAGTTACAAAACAGAATTTAGTAGCACCTTAAGTGGAAGCCAGGAAATCAGATGTTTAAATTTTATCACTGGAAATAAGTCGTTTTGCCTGCTTATGAGGTGAATTTTTTATGCTTTTTATTTTGGTTTACATAATATTTTTCAAAAAACTCAGATATTTATAATGAATATTACCATATGGTTATCTTTCTCAACCAGATTTATCATTAGTTTTAGGGAAGACTAGAATTTTAGAAGTTTACTCATGATGAGTGTGTCAGACAAAGCACTTGCAAAATACATTTTGTTATATATTTTATTTATTTTACATCATATATTGAGGTATTTTTTCAGAACATAAAATGCTGCATGGCTGTCTAGTATGACTTTTTGGGGTAATAAAAAAAACAATATTGTGAAGTTTCAGAGTGGGAGAATCACACCACCTCGAAGAGCCCCTTCACCAGATGGCTTCTCACCATACAGCCCTGAGGAAACAAACCGCCGTGTAAACAAAGTGATGCGGGCCAGGCTGTACTTACTGCAGCAAATAGGACCCAACTCTTTCCTGATTGGAGGAGATAGTCCAGACAATAAATACCGGGTGTTTATTGGGCCTCAGGTAGGACTCATCACCGGTTTATATTTTATTAGTATTTGGTACTAACTCAAATCGATACTATAATACTCTTAAATTTAGGTCAGTTAATTCTCTTTAGTAAACTAAATTTCAAATATATTTTGGGCTAATAAACATTTTTAATGTATTTATGAAGGTTTTTACCATGACTTAATAAACTTTAGAATAAAAATTTGATGTTTAATAAATTCATTAAAAACAAGCTGTAGACTTTTCTTGCATATTCTTATTAATATATAAAGATAACGAAGCAAATTAATAGAAACTAGTATATTTGGTATATTTGGAAATATAAAAAAGTGATAGACTAAGGAATTCTAATAGAACCACATAACTCATAAGTTTTTTGTTTGCTTGTTTTTTAAACTTTTTAGAACTGCAGCTGTGGGCGTGGAACATTTTGTATTCATCTGTTATTTGTAATGCTCCGAGTATTTCAACTAGAACCTTCGGACCCAATGTTATGGAGAAAAACTTTAAAGAATTTTGAGGTAATTTTAAATAAATGCTTTAGAGTAAAATTGTCAACAAATTTTTATGGTATATTTCTAAAATTTTTTTCCATGATTTCTACATCTAAAAAACAGTGGTCATTTTGAAGGTATATACGAATTGTTTGATGCTTATAAATAGTTCTCTTATAGCCCATTGACAAATTAAGTCTTTTCTTCTAGACTGAAGAACAAGTAAACACAGACCTGTAAAAATATTGCCCTTAGTAAGCTGTATTCTTAGTTTTCAAGTTCTTAAATTGCCTTTATGAAAAACTTTTGAAATAAAAGACAAATAACTCAACCTCTAGAACTCTGTGTGTATATTATGGCACAAATATCATTGTTACTGTCTCTTTTCAATGTTAGGTTGAGAGTTTGTTCCAGAAATATCACAGTAGGCGTAGCTCAAGGATCAAAGCTCCATCTCGTAACACCATCCAGAAGTTTGTTTCACGCATGTCAAATTCTCATACATTGTCATCATCTAGTACTTCTACATCTAGTTCAGAAAACAGGTTAGTACTTTTTAAGAAATTAAAAGCATTAATCTGTTGTTACTTTTTAATTTTAGGGGTAATTTTTTATATCTACTTGCTAATTTGCTCTAAAATGATTTAACTTGCACCTTGGCTTTCAAGTTTAAATCAAGGATAAAAGGTATTAAAGGTCATCTGAGTGTGTGTGTGTGTGTGTGTGTATACACAAACACTCCCTCTCATATATATATGTGGACATTTTGTCCTGAAAACAGTGTTGGTACCTTATATATCAGAATATTAAAAAAATGTTGAAGTTATATAATAAGGGATTGTTATTTATCAATCATTACTTTGTGTCAGGCATCTAATAGTGTCTAATTTTGTTTTTACAACATCATCAGGTAGGTTTTATCACTGTTTTGCAGAGAATGACACTGAAGCTGTGTAAAGAATATATCTATAGTTCTTTTATAAACAGAAGGCAAAGTGGTTTCCCCAGATTACTTTCAAATACAGGGTTACACATCACTGCTTCTTTCATAGGTACTTTAGGGCAGCGGTCCCCAATTTTTTTGGCACCAGGGACTGGTGCTCCTATGAGAATCTAATGCCTGATGATCTGAGGAGGAGGTGAGGTGGTGATGCTAGTGCTGGGGAGTGGCTGCAAATACAAATGAAGCTTCGCTTGCCTGCTCCTTACCTTCTGCTGTGCAGCCCAGTTCCTAACAGGCCATAGACCAGTACCAGTCTGTGGCCCACGGGTTTGGGACCCCTGTTTTAGGGAATCCTCATTATAGGCCATTGCACCTCTGAGGACATAAGTATGATCTTCTAAGCAAATAGACTAATCAATTGTAATTAAAGATACAGAAGCTGTTAATCACAGTTGTTACTTAAAATCTACAGTGCTTCTCAAGCTTTTCTATTGCCTAGTTGTTGATAAGAATGAATTCATAACCTTGAAGGATCTGAGATGTAGCCCAAAATGACAGGTGTGAAAAATTTTTCAAGTCCCTAGTGTGTGTCATGCATGTGCTGTTAAGTCAGTTCTGACTCCTGGTGACCCTATGAATGCATGATATCCATAATGTCTTGTA